GCAGAGAGAGAGGAGAGCCTTTGAGCCTTGGCACCAGCCAGGCAGTTGATTTGGCCCTGGCACCAGCCTTGGCAGTTGAGTTGGCCTTGGCACCAGCCTTGGCGGGCGGGCACGCGGGACATGCACAGGCGCCAAGGGGCGCAGCGCCGACAATCACGGCGGTGATTGCGGCGCAGGTGGGGGGACGGGAAGTCCGTCGGCGTTGCCGGGGGCCCAAGGAAGCGCGAGGGAAAAATTCCGCCGCTGAGGGCGCTCGTGCGGCAATAGCCGGGTGGAGGGGGGAGCGTGCCGGACGGGGCGTCGTCGCGCCGTCCGATGGTCTGCTGCCCCGCGCAGCAACCGTCGGGCGACGACCCGGGGGCCAAAAACCCGGCGACGACGGCGCTCTGGATGGGGCGTGACCTCCTGCCTCCAACCTCCTTCCTTTTTGAGCAGGTGTGACGCCGCGCGAGCGACGCTCCGAGATCGCCCGAGATAGCGCGGCGCGGCCCCGAGATCGCCCGAGATCGCGCGAGATCGCCCGAGATCGCGCGGCGCGGCCCGAGGCGAGGTGGATGGGTTGGGAGCGAGGGGGCGGAAGTGGCCAGTGCGGTAGATCGGTCAGTCGGGGCGCGTGAGCCGGACTTGTGAGCCGGACGGCTTTCATTTCTCCCTGCGTTGTTGAGCCAGGACTCAACATACTCGTTCTGTTGCCGTCCCAAACTGTCACTCCCCTTTCTCCCGGCCGGGGCGGGGCGCGCGCGGGGGCGGCGGGTGTGCGGCGAGTGTGCGGGATGTCTGTGGGCCCGAGAGCGATATGCCATGTCCGCCTTGCGTTGTTTCATAACATCGAAGGCTAAGCTCAAAAAAAGAAAAGAGAAAAATAAAAGAAAATTCCGCCGGACCGTACAGTTATTTTTTTGCGGCGCGCCATCACATCAAGGCTCCAAACGAGCAGGTGACTGTTTTGCGGTGCCGCTCATCGCCTGCGACATGCCGTTTGTTGTTGCGTGCGCGTACGCCTTCTCGGGCCTTCCAGCCCAGGGCTTCTCCGCTCTCGTCCTCGCTTCCCTCGTCGCCCTCGGCTCGGCGGCGGCGCCCGCTGCGGGTTCCGCCGAGCAGGCGAGGGCGCAGCTCGCGTCTCGCATCGCAGAGACGCGTCGAAGCAAGCAGGCGAAGCGGGTCGTGCTCTTCATCGGCGACGGAATGGGCCTGGGCACGCAGTACGCGACGCGCATCTGGGAGGGGCAGCAGGAGGGAAGTCTCGGCGAGGAGCACGTGTCTGTTCTCGATCGCGCGCCCCACGTCGGCGTGACCAAGACGTATACGCTCAACGCACAGACGGCGGACAGCGCCGCCTCGGCGACTGCCTTCATGAGCGGCGCGAAGACCATCAACGGCGTGATCAACACCAAGCCCTCCCTCGGCCGCGGCGAGTGCAACGCGTCGCGCTCTCCGGCCGACCACGCGATGCGGCACACTCCTCCATATCCTCTCCCTGCGTCCCGGCCATGCACTTTAGATTAGGTCTACACAAGCAGGAGAGTCTTACGCAGCTACCCAGCTCGCCTCTTCCCCACAGGCCGCTCGTCTTCATCACGTCCGAGCTGGGCTACCGCAACGGCATCGTGTCGACGGCTCGGGTGACGCACGCCACGCCCGCGGCCGCCTACGCCGTGTCGGCGGATCGCAACTGGGAGGCGTCCGTGCCGATCGCCGACTGCCCGCAAAAGGACATAGGACAGCAGCTCGCGGACGCGATGCTGGGCGGCCAGATAGACGTGGCGATGGGCGGGGGGATGCGCTCCTTCCTGCCCGCGTGCCAGGCGCGGGCCTACGCGGCCGGGATCTCCGTCAGCACGGGCGCGGAGACTCCGGCCGGCCGCGTGGTGATTGTCCACGACTTTGAGGGCGCGCGAGTGGCGTGCGCCGTCCTCCGCGAGGCATCTCCCCCCTCCCCCGCGGCGCTGCGCGCCGACGGCTTCGTGCGGTACTTCACCTACTCGGACTATGTCGGCAGCCTGCGCGTGAGCGGCTCGTTGGAGATCACCGCCCGCCCGAGCGGCGAGAGGGTCCTCTCGTTCGCGCTCCGCGGCGTCGACCCGCTCTGCTCCGGCGGGGCCGGCCCCAACCGCTCAAACTCGTGCGGCGTCCACGTCCACGAGGGCGAGAGCTGCGGCGCGGACGCGGGCGGCCACCTCTACGACCGCGCCGCGCTGCGGGAGGACCCGTGGGCGGGCGTCGCGTACACGGCGACGGCGTGCTCCGGAAAGTCCGGGAGCCGGACGGACGGGGAGGACCTGACGGCGCGGCTCCGCTCGGCGGGCGTCGAGATAGCGGACTCGCGCGCGGGGTTCGACGCGCTGCGCGGTGCGGCCGTGCGGAGGGAGGGGCGCGTTCTGGCCGGCTTCTCCGAGGAGAATGGCGGGAGCCACATGGTGTACGAGGCGAGGGTCGCCCCCCCTTGCCCCACCACCTCGTGTGTGTGGAGAAGTTTACCGACCGTACCTTACCTAGGCGGACCGGAATGCGAGCGTCGCGCCATCGCTCGCCGAGATGACGGCCGAGGCTATCCGCCGGCTGTCGGTGCACGATCGCTTCTTCCTGCAGGTGGAGGGCGGCCGCATCGACCACGCGCTCCACGCAAACCAGCTGCAGAGAGCAGCGATCGAGACCGCGGCCTTCGAGAAGGCGGTGCAGGTCGCGCTCGACTCGCTGAGCCTCGACGACAGCCTCATCATCGCCACGGCCGACCACTCCCACGGACTCATGTTCACGGGGTACTGCGCGCGCGGCTCCCCGATCGACGGGCTCTGCTACCGCATCGACGCGAGCGGCATCGCCGCGGCGGAGGGCCCTCCCAAACCCGCGCCCGTGCCCGAGGTGGACGCGGACGGGTATAACATCACGGTCGCCACCTTCGCCACGGGCCGGCGGCTGCGAGAGGAAGAGCCGCGCAGCGCTGCCTCGATCGCGGCGCAGGGGCCCGACTTCCTGTCGCCCGCCGTCTTCAAGGCTTCTTCGGAGCGGCACTCTGGCGAGGACGTCATCACGTACGCTTGGGGTGCGCAGGCGCACCTCGTCGGCGGCACATTCGAGCAGCACGTCTTGCACCACCTCATGCTTCACGCCATGAGCGCCGGCGGCGAGGACGACCGCATCGAGCAGCGGCGGG